CGTAGGCATAGCCCTGCCACGTGGCCTTGCATGATTCGTCCCCGTTTTTGACGGCGCCGTCCCTTGCCGTCAGACGAAAAAGACTGCCGACGGCTATACTATGCCGACGGCTGACGCCAGGCCGTCGACATAGGCCCCTATGCCGACGGCTTTACTATGCCGACGGTCTGACAAGACTACGATGACGGTATCTACGCCAACGGGTCTATGCCGACGGCAGCCGTAGGCATAGACCTATGCCGATGGCTTGGGGGCCTATGCCGACGGCCCTTGGCCGTAGGCATAGACCGCGAGTCCGGTAGTGTCTCTACTCTCACCATTTATATTAGAGTATTAGACCAAAATGCTCTTGTAGCAATGATTATGCACGACGGGTTCAATGGTGTATTTTCCGAACATTTCCTCGGATGGTTTGTTTGCATTACACCTGTACGCAAAGATGTTACCTTGAAGCCCGCGTCACCTCTGTTCTTCGTCCGGATAGATAATTTGGAGGCTGATTTGGGCCTCCAGAGAGTGGAATTCATTGCCATCATCATCATCACCATCATCATGATCTCTCTCCCTCTCTCTCTCTCTCTCTCATGTGATGTCGTGCTGTGAAGCTGCGGTCACCAGATCAATGCAGGGGATCGCCGGTTGTGAGGGCGAGGGAGGCGAGGCTACACAACAACGAGGGGAGGGGCGCATGGCGATGGGTGTCGAGATCGGTGCATGATGGTGAACCAGGAAGAGAGTTGGGAGAGAAAGGTAGGAGGAAGAGAATTGGATTGGATGACGTTGAACAACCGGATCGGACGGCTCTGACGGCGATTGCTCGAGATCTACGGTTTGACCGGTACCTAGCAGTGCCCCTAGTCTCAATGCAGCTGACTCGATGGAATCAAACATGAAGAGCTGATAAAACGATAAGATAAATGCAAATAATCGACATGTGTTTTTCTCACGAAAAATTATAAGAACGTAGAAAATCAGTTTATTTATTTAACTTTTATACAAATTTACTGTTCAAGCGAGAGACTAGCTCATATGTAAGAGAGAATATTACATGGAAACCAAATTTTAGTGAAAATCGATGAAAACCACATAAAACGATGTTCTGAAGTTAAAAAAATGACAAAAAATTACGGAATGTTAATAGTATGATATGCTATTAGCATGTAAAATTCCTGATTATGTTTTTCAAGTTCATTGTAAATGGTAATGTGTTTGAACTTGAATTTTTGCATGGCAATAGAACATCATCCTCTTAACATCTCTCTTTTTATTTTATTTTTGAACTTTCAAATATTGTTTCCACGAAGTTTTCTTTGAACGTGGTTTTAATATGATACTCTCTCCATATTTAAAGTTTCGTATCTCGGTCATCCAATGCACGTCTTGTTTTTTTTTTTTTCATTTTTCTTAGGCAGCTCAAGCTGGCTGAACCGGACCATGTAGCCACTGAGCACGCACACACAGGACCAAGCTCTCCAATTTTCCCCACCCGAAACCCTCGCCGCCGCCGCCGCACCATGCCGCCGCCGGTGCTGATGGACGACCTCGTTGAGGAGGTTCTCCTCCGCCTTCCGCCCGACGAGCCCGCCTGCCTCGTGCGCGCCTCCGCCGTCTGCAAGCCATGGCGCCGCATCCTCGCCGGCCAGCGCTTTCGCCGCCGCTACCGGGAGTTCCATCGGACACCTCCCGTCCTGGGACTCTTCGAAAGGAATGGGCGTTTCGTCCCCACCTCCGACCTCTTCCCTGCCAAGCACGACCACTCCGACTGGTTTGTCACAGACTGCCGCCACGGCCGCGCCCTCGCCATCATCATCAAATCCCTCGCCGTCTTCGACCCTATAACGGGCCAGCGGCGCCGCGTGCCCTGGCCCCGTCCCGTTGACCAGTTGACCCACTTCAGTGCGGCGGTGCTCTGTGCCGCACAAGGCTGCGACCACCGCAGTTGTCAAGGAGGGCATTTCTTTGTGGCCTTTGTGACCACTAGGAAAGAAGTCTCATTGGGCTGGCTGTACTCATCGGAGACTCGCGTGTGGAGCAACCTCACCCCTGTTCATCACCCCAACGTCAAGTCTACCTCTGCCATTGCTGTGCATAGCGTCCTTTTGGGCGATGCAATCTACTTCAATGCGGATAGCATCATCGAGTGCCAACTTGGTACACGCTGTTTGTCGATGTTCGAGAAGCCAATCGATGACAGTGGGAGTCTCATGATGGCCGAAGACGGTAGGCTGGGATTCGCTGCGGTGGTGGAAAAACATAGGGTAATCGATCTTAAGCTGCTGCTCCCTGAAGGGGCCCTCTCGATCCCAACATTTCAAGATGGGGTTAGCGGCATCGCTGAGGGCACCCAAGTCATTTTTGTGAGCACATGTGTTGGTTCCTACATGGTCGATCTCAAGTCTCTACAAGTCAGGATGGTGTCTCGTCCTTGCAAAAGAATCTTTCCCTACATGAGCTTCTACATCCCAGGTACTATTACTTATGTGTATATGTATATGATATAACCATGCACATTCCTTTGTTACAGTCTGCCAGACGCACTTAGCATTGTTAGCAAAATGAAACACATATATGTTTCTTAGCAAGTAGTCTTACACAAGTTGATATATTATATGTGCTCAAGAAAGAGATATGTTCCTCTAGAGTACAAGTTCGTATTCTCTTAAACGTCTGGATTTACCTTGTGTGTGTATTAATGTGCCTTGTCGGTCCTTGTAATTGGCAAGTAAGCAAGATGTACATTCAGATGAACCTGATTCATCTATCGGTTGCTTTTTATATATTCTAAATTTCTTGCATTCCTGCAGCAATGGAAGCAGCTTGTACGGGACAGGGGCAATGAGCTGGTGTTTCAAGTGTTTATCAAGCTCATGGTACTGGACGAAGGGCTTTTGAATCAAGGAGGAGGTGGTTGTAGTGATGTTAGTTGTGGCACTAAGTGTGGCTCTGCATCTGTGAGATTACTTTTGGTGTTAGTATTGGGTCATGCAACTTCGGTTATGATGTTCTTGGTTGCTTCCCTGCTTGCAATTTGTAAAGACCTTTTCAGTCATTTTGTGATCTTGTAAAATATGGTGATATCAGCACGAAGCAAAGATGGTTTGCTATGAAAAAAGAACTGAATATCATCTAGAAATCGAAATGTGGGCACTTAGGTACTTTCTAATAACCAGGGTCTAACTTGATCTGGAAAAGATACCAGGTTTTCAAGGATTTCTTTCCATTCTTGACATGTCTTTTCTCTATTTTTCTTCGGGGGAGGCTGACTCAGCTTCATCTGGGTTCTAAACAGTTACACTGTCAGGCCCTAGCACGCAGCAAATCCCCTGCTCCGATCCATTCATTAGCATTTTGCTAAGCAGATGAATGTCGTGTGGGGTCGATTACACGCAAGCAGATCATGTGTTGCGGGGATTGGTAGTAGTCATCGGAACATACTGGACTGGCAGAACCTGATGTGGTATGAATACTCCACCGCTGACGACAAACTGTTCACGTAGCATGGAGACATAGATAAGAGAAATGTCCCATCAGACACGAAATCGTCTCAATTAAACTAGAACATTGATGTTTCAATTCACTAAATAATTGTATTTATCGCCCTACAAAAGATGCTTCCACCACTACAAAGATGCATGTTGCACATCCTTGAAATAAATCATTAGTGAATGTGAAAATTGTAGTTCAAAATAAGTCACACAATTTTCTTCTTTTTAACAAAGTAAAAATGCAGATGCCCACGTACACATACACGCACATGTGATTTATTTTCTAAAAATGCGTTGTTGTATTGGTTTTTATTCAACTGCAATGATGCTCTCGAGGCGAAAAGTCATCCTTTAATATAGGGCATGGCTTTGGCACTACAACATACGGAAGTCTCAGTTATTGTCCAATCGGACTCAGGCGTTGGCAACACTCTACAGGGAGGGCTCATTGTATTCTGCATATGGCCATATCGTTCTGAGATCCAGTTCTCGGTGAAAAAGAGAGTTTATTTCTGTGAAGTTTAGACCTGGATAAAATAGGGTAGCAGATCAATTGGTCTTGTACGGTCATACTAAAGGTAGCAGTGCCCTATGGCTAAAAAGGACCACAATTGGTCTTGGCTCTCAACTGAAATCAGATAAATAAAAAAAGAAATCCTATTATCACGAAATAAGTTTCTTTCATCCTGTTTTTTTCTTCATATTTTACCATCCGATATATCGTACCGAAGAGCCAAGGCACGACAGGTTATGGCTGTAGTTAGATGGTCATAAGGATTAAGGACAGTGGTATCCTTTTTTCAACAGATTTCAAGTCCCTGATGTTGGGAGAAAACATTCTCATCGACTGCGAAAGTGTTTGTAGTGACTTTTTCAATCTCAAGGTGACGTGTCATGTCCGCGTCTGTACTGTGTTGAAGAAAAAGGCACACGTCTCTTTTTTTTTTTTAAATGAAGGCAGCTCAAACCTCAAATCGCAAAAAGAAAGAAAAGAAAACTGGCTAAACCGAACCGTGTAGTAGCCATCCAGCGAGCACGCCTGCTCCGTGGAGTCTCCACTCTTCCCCACCCAAACCCTCGCCTCCGCCGCCGGCGCCGATGGGCGAGCTCGCAGAGGATCTCTTCCTCCGCCTTTCGCCGGAGCTCGTCGAGGAGGTATTTTTCCGCCTTCCGCCGGACGAGCCCGCCTGCCTCGTACACGCCTCCGCCGTCTGCAAGCCCTGGCGCCGCATCCTCGCCGATCTGGGCTTTCGCCGCCGCTATTACAAGTTCCACGGAACACCTCCCGTCCTGGGGCTCTTCCAACAGGGCGACTGGCTCTTCCGGGAGGGAGCCCGCTTCGTTCGCACCTCCGCCCTCTTCCCTGCCCAGCGCGACCGGCCCTGCTGGTTTGCCATGGACTGCCGCCACGGGCGCGCCCTCTTGGCCAGCTTGGGCACCACCTGTCACCTCATGGTCTTGGACTCTGTGACGGGACACCAGCGCCTCGTGGTCTCGCCCTGTAACCGCCCGGTCAGCTTCAGTGCGGCGGTGCTCTGCGCCGCACAAGGCTGCGACCACCATGGTTGCCAAGGAGGGCATTTCCGTCTGGCCGTCGTCACCACCTATCAGCAGCATAGGGTCACATCGGGCTGGCTGTACTCGTCGGAGACTCGCCTGTGGAGCGAGCTCACCTCTGTTCATCACCCCAATGTCAGGTGTCCCTATAACTTGGGTGCGCCTAGCGTCCTTGTGGGCGATGCACTCTACTTCAACGTTGGTGGCATCGTGGAGTGTCAACTTGGTGCACTCAGGTTGTCAATGTTGGAGAAGCCGGTCGACGGCAATGGGCGCTTGTCAATGTCTCATAACCCGATTGATGGCATTGGGACTCTCATGGTGAAGGAAGACGGGCGACTGGGGTTTGCTGCCGTGGTGGATGTCACGAATCTAACCCTATGGTTGTGCGAGACCGGACCTGTGGGAGCTATTGGATGGGCAAAACTCAGGGTAATTGATCTTAACTTAAGACGCTGCTCCCAACATGTGAATTCAGCACTAGCATTAGGAGGTCGGTCGGTACATGCATTGGCGATCACCGGCGTCGCGGAGGGCACACAAATCATTTTTGTGAGAGCACATGTTGGTTCCTATATGGTTGATCTCAAGTCAGGGCGAGTCCGGCCGGTGGATGCTTATGGCAGAAAATTCTTTCCCTACGCAAGCTTCTGCATCCCAGGTACTAGTTACTCGTGTGCATGTGTATTTATAACCTTGTACAGTACAATTCTTTGTGACAATCTTTCAGTGGCACTTAGCAACATGAATGAAAATTAATATGTTCCTTAGCAAGTAACTTTAGGCATGAGGACATATGTGCTCAAGAAAGCAAGATATTCTTCCGGAGTACAGGCTGATATTCTCTTCAACGTCTGGATTTACCTATTGAGGAAAGGAAAACATACATAGTAGAGTTGAGCCTGATTCATTAAATGAATCAATTGAGCTTATGTTATGATTTTCTTGCATTTCTGCAGCAATGGAAGCAGGCTGTACTGGCCAGGGGCAGTGAGCTGGTCTTTCAAGTGTTTATCCAGCTCTAGGTGATGGAGCACGCGCTTCTGAATCAAGAGACGGTGGTTGTAGTGATGTTAGATATGGCACAAGCGCAGCTCTGGACCTGCAGCAGGAAGTTGCTATTCTGTAGACTGTAGTAACTTTGTCTAGGCTGGGTTGAAGGACCAATACTGCTGGTCGTAGTATGTGGTGTATGGAACTTTGTTTAGGAAGTTGTGCAGGAACCTTGTATGCATGCTCATGGATGGATCGCTGTTCACTATGCATGGGGCATATGCCGCTACCCCCTCAGCCACCCAAGTCTAAATATCAAATCTGGCAGGTTCCAACCAAAGTCAAGATTTTCAGCTGGCTTCTGCATTTGGAGTTGGACTTGGACAGATTATACATAAGCAGAATCTTCATCACAAAACTTTACTGGAAAATGCCGCATACCCCCTTCGACGACGTTGGACCGTTGCGACGCCGCCTGGTCCTCTACCGACCTTGCTCACCACCTTGGTCATTCTGACTGTTCTATGGAATTTTTTTGGATGCTCGCTTAGAACGCTTTGGTATTCAGATAAACTGAACTGCACGCCCTGCTGTTTTATTAAAGTAAATGTCATCTATGATCCCACCCTCTGGACTCATGTACTGAGTTCTGACAAGCTCAAAGTGTGCAAAAACATTTCCTGGGATAATTCTTTTCATTAGAATGTAGGTAAAAATGTTAGCTCAAGTCAAGAAGAATTTTCACTATGAAGAATAAAAATCCATGGATTGAAAAAGTTGTTCACTATTGCAGATATCGTGGGAAATGGTGACTCATATGCCACAGGGATCAGTCTAGCGTGCCTGCTTTTGCAATGTGCATATGAGTGACCGTAAAACTTGGAGTTGAAGAATACTGCATCACCTTTTTCTTGGTTTTGCTGCGAGCCACGGGCTCCTTCCACTCCGCTCTGCTCAGCCCTTCCATCATAGTCATGCCAGAGCCGTCGATGCCACCGTGGTCGTCGTTGGATAGGACGATGACCTCTGTCCTCCCCGCCGTGCACTCCTCGTTACCGGCGTTCCGCCTCGTGGCTGCATCGTCGGCGGGGTGGACGTGGGTGATGCTGGGGGCGCGCCAACGTGGATTGGGCGGCGCTGGCGGTGGATTGCGTGGTGGGTGGGTGGTAGGTATACCTGGCCATACCTCGGGCTTCGGGCCGGGCCTAGCCAAGCCCGACGCAAAAAACCTAGGCCCGGGCCCGGTCCGACCATCGGGCCTGGTTTTTGGGCCCAAGCCCGCCAGGCCCCTTCAGGAAAAATGCGAAAACGACGGGCCCGGGCCCGACCCAGCTTTCGGGCTCAAACTCTAGGCCCGGGCTCTGCGGACGTCCAGACTAGAGACAAAGTGTGTGCCTGGCGGGGGAGGGGGTCTCTGCGGACGTCTGGACCGCTGCCACTCCCGCTCCTAACTATCATGGGCCATCAAAAACCCTCCTTCCGCCCCCACGTGCATTCCTGAGCCAGCCAGGCGCCGGTTGCCCGCATCCGTGTCGTTGTAGAGCGGCCTATCTGCATTGACATCGGCCCAGAGCGGATGCGATTTCTCACTAGCGCCGGCATGAAAGCGGCGCCGGCCAAGAGCGCATCCCACGCCGCATCGCCGGTGTTCGTGTCTGTTCAATGCTGGAGAGACGTATGTTGTACGAGACAGACGGATATCTACCACGCCCGTTCGTCCTCATGCCGTCATTAAGCGGGCTCGTCGGCCAAGGAACCAACTCCGACGTCACGCATTGATGCAGACAGATGCTTGGCCTCACCGGAATCCGCTATTTAAAGGCGGCCACACCCGGCTAAACTCCACACCACAACCCATCTGCTCCACATCCTCCTCCCTTGCACCACATTCACCACAATTGCGAGCGGGAACACTCTGGGGGAGAGCCCGTCGACGGAGATGAAGCACGAGATCGCCGCCCTTGTGGGTACCTTGCAGAGACGCTGTGCTAAGCGGATCGAGGCCAGCTTGTCGGCTAGCTCGCTCGAGGTCTTCGACGATGACCCCACAATGAAGACGAGGTTCGACGACGACACCGGGCCTGAGTCGGCACTTGTGCTTGCCGTCATGACCATGGAGCAGGCCAACCGCGCTATGCCGCCGCCATGGCGGATGAGGAACACCCCACACCGGCTCTTATGTCGGCGTTCCAGCAGGCGCACGAGAAGCAGAGGTACCACCATCTTCCCCTCGGGCAGCACGAACTGGCGGAGGGCCAAATCTACGGTGAGCGTGCAAGTGAGGAGGTCGTGGCCGCCATGGCCGCGGCAAACCCGAACTTCGTTGCGGAGCAACGGGCGCTCTACGCGGCCGCGCGTTCTTAACGCGCCACTCTTAACGCAGTGCCGGCACAGCCAAATGCGGCCGCGGCCGCACGAGCGCTGGCAGCGAAAGCGGACGAGGACATGAACGCCGCCAGCTACGCCTCCTACGCACCCCCGTCCAACTTTCTGGGGCGCGTGTGGCAGGTGGACAGTGCCAGACCGTCCACGTCCATCATCGACCTGAAGTCCACTGGTAACGGCGACGGATTGGTCGCGGACTCCTTCGAGGATGAGTAACGCATGGGAGGCAACAAGGCATTGTGTTCCATGTGGGCCGATCGATATCCCATGTTCTACTCTTCCTCGCCGGAATGTGCACCTCCACTTCACAAGTCATGAAGCCCTCCGCCGTCATGGAGACGAAAGAAGGAGGACATGATCGCTGATGCCGAATACGAAGGAAATGGACGACAGGCTATAGGATAGGTTTAGGGTTGGGCCGTTTCTTTTCTTCTAAATGTTCGAAATATAATAAAAATGTTTGAAATGTACTCCCTCCATCCCAAAATAGATGACTTAACTTTGTACTCCCTCCGTCCCATAATGTAAGACGTTTTTTAACACTCGGAGGGATTAATGAATTTCGTCTGGTTTATGTGACATTCGTCGTGTTTGCACGAATTTTGTTCGGTTGATGTGAAAATCTATTGAGTTTGCACGAATTTCGCCTGGTTAGTTAAAATCCAGCTTGAAATGTATGGTTGGACCAAATTTGCGGGTTAGCGTGAAATGCACTTAGTGAATGTGAAAACTGTAAAAAGAAAAAAGAAAAAAAATGAAGGGTGAAAACTGTAGCTCCGGAGAGGCCGCGGTCCACTCGTTTCCCGACCCAAACCCTCGCCTCCGCCGCACCATGCCGCCGGCGGCGGCGCTGATGAGCGACCTCGTAGAGGATCTGTTCCTCCGCCTTTCGCCGGAGCTCGTCGAGGAGGTGTTTTTCCGCCTCCCGCCGGACGAGCCCACCTGTCTCGTCCGTGCCTCCGCCGTCTGCAAGCCCTGGCGCCGCATCCTCGCCGATTCGGGCTTTCGCCGCCGCTACCGCAAGTTCCACGGAACGCCTCCCGTCCTGGGGCTCTTCCAACGGGGCGACTGGCTCTTCCAAAAGGGATCCCGCTTCGTTCCCACCTCCGCCCTCTTCCCTGCCCAGCCTGACCATCCCGATTGCTTTGCCATGGACTGCCGCGCCCTCTTCGCCCGCATCTGGGACACCTCCGTCCTCATGGTCTTGGACCCTGTGACGGGCCACCAGCGCCTCGTGACCTCCCCCTATACTCACCCGGTCAGCTTCAGTGCGGCGCCGGTCAGCTTCAGTGCGGCGGTGTTCTGCGCCGGCGCCGCACAAGGCTGCGACCACCATGGTTGCCAAGCAGGGCACTTCCGTCTGGCCGTCGTGACCACCAATGATGTCCAAGAGGTCACATCGGGCTGGCTCTACTCGTCGGAGACTCGCGTGTGGAGCCAGCTCACCTCTCTTCATCACCCCAATGTCAGATTTACCAATTCAGCTGCGCCTAGCGTCCTTGTGGGTGATGCACTCTACTTCAACTTGGGCGGCATCATCGAGTGCCAACTTGGTACAGTCTGCTTGTCAATGTTGGAGAAGCCAATCGATGGCAATGGGACTCTCATGGCGACGCAAGACGGTCTGCTGGGATTCGCTGCCGTGGTGGATGCCGCAAATCTAACCCTTTGGTCGAGGGAGGCCGGACCCAAGGGAGCCATGGGATGGGCAAAACTCAGGATAATTGATCTTGAGGCGCTGCTCCCTGTTGGTGCCATGTCCCTAACATTGGAATTCAGGAGGCGGGTACATGCATTGGTGACCAGTGGCATCGCGGAGGGCACCCAAATCATTTTTGTGATAACTCGTGATGGTTCTTATATGGTTGATCTCGAGTCAGGTCGAGTCAGGCCCGTGTCTTGTCTTTGCAGAAAAATCTTTCCCTACATGAGCTTCTACATCCCAGGTACTATTAACTATGTGCATAGTATATAGTCATGTACAGCTCCTTGTTACAATCTTTCAGTGGCACTTGGCAACGTGAAATGAAAATATGTTTCTTAGCAAGTAACTTTACACATGAGGACATATGTGCTCAAGAAAGAGGGATGTTCCTCTGGACTGGAGTACATGTCCATATTCATTCTCTTAAATGTCTGGATGACTTGTCGGTCCTTGTGATCGGCGGGTAAGGAAAATGTACATTCAGTTGAGCCTGGTTCATCAATCATTTAATTTGATGTTGTAATTCTCTTGCATTTATGCAGCAATGGAAGCAGCTTGTGCTGGCCAGGAGCAGTGAGCTGGTGTTTCCAGTGTTTGTCAAGCTCAAGTTAATAGAGCAAGCTCTTGTGGATCAATGGGGAGGTGGTAGTGGTAGTAGTGATGTTAGATATGGCACAAGTGCAGCTCTGGACCTGTAACTTTGTTAGGCTGGGTTAAGGACCAATACTGCTGTTGTTAGTACTATGTGGTGTATGGAAATTTGTTTAGGAATTTGTGCAGGAACTTCGTTGAACAAGTTGCTGCTCCTTTGCTTGCAATAACTTTCAGTCGTTAATAATTTTCAGGAAATGTACTTTCTGAATGCACAAAATGATTGACTGGTACTTCACAAGCTGTTCTTCCGGTAATATTTTTTAGCTCGCCTACCCACTGACGACTCCGTAAGACTTTAATGTCTTCCGTTAATCGACAATTGACCCTCGCATACATACTGATGGATGGGGCATATGCTGCTATCGTCACTACCCTCAGTCACCCCCAAGTCTTGATATCAAACTAGGTTCCAACCAAAGCCAAGATTTTTGACTGGCTTCTGCATTTGGAGTTGGACATATTAAACCCTAATCAGAATGGCAACACCTGTTTTTCACCTGTGTTGCTTTTCGATGCAATATGGTGTGTCGTCTGATATGGCCACCTTTCACCCCCTTCGACGGCGTCTGGACTGTTGCCACACCACCTGGTCCACCGACCTCGCTCACCACCTTCGTCATTCTGACTCTCCCCTGGAAAATTTTGGATGCTCGCTTAAAACGCTTTGTTCTTCAGATAAACTGAACTGCATGCCCCTGCTGTGCTCTCATACAAGCTGAAAGTGTGCAAAAGCATTTCCTATGGTGGTTTTCTCTTTCGTTACAATGTACGCAAAAATGTTACCTCGAATCAAGAAGTATTTTCACTACCAAGAATAAAAATCCATGGAGCAAAAATGTTGTTCACTATTGCAGAGATAGTGGGAATGGTGACTATTGCAGTCCTTTGGATGATTTGGCTCGCCAGAAATCGGAAAGTTTTCGACGACATCTCAATCCCCCCTTTGACAGTTGCAAGGCAATGTTCAGAGATGGTGAGGCTCTGGTCTCAAAGCCAAACGCTCAGAGTTGGGGACTCCATCCAAAGCTGGATCGAAGGCTGAAATGCATCTTCTTTGTCTTTAACTTGTGTAGGCTCCATCTCTGTTTTTTCTCCTGTTCTCCCCTCTTCCTGAGTGTGTAAGACTGTTTGTTTGCTTACCTGGTTTGCTGTTTTTATGAAATGAAAAGAAAATAGGTAGGGGCCTCCCCTCCCGACTTCACTTGAAAAAAAAAGTGTTCATGTAATACGGAGATAAATGTTTTATTGGTGAGGGAAAATGTACCATCAAACAGAAATTAGTTTCAGTTAAATGTAAAAAAATGCTTTTATCTCACGAGGCAATATATATAGGTCCGAAACAAGGGCAAAAAAAGAAATACCAGGCCTTTGACCGAGCCGGCCTTTAAAAAAAACTAGCTTAAGCGGCTTGCTCGATAATGAAAACATAATGCCAAATTGGCTGGCCGGTAAGATAAACATCGCCTAGACATTGGCGACGTTGGCCCACACGTCTTCCATAGCACCAACACACCACAGAGCTTTATCTAAGGACTACGGATTCCTCTTATGCTCACACAAGTCACAAAATAAAACGATCTTGTCTTGTGATTACTCTGGCCAATTGTCATGGCTGTGTTTCACAGCCACTGCCTTCTAGGAATCTCGTACGTCCATCATAAAAACAAGCTAATTCTTGGAGTATTTTAGAGCCACTGCCTTTTAGGGATCTCGTACATCCACCACGCGAACAATCTAATTGTTGTGTCGCCATTGCATGTACAAAAAACTGATTTGGCGTGGTGATAGATGACGTGTTGTCGTAGGGTAGAGCATCCTCGTCTCCTATCACAGCTCTATCATACCCGTGAGAAGAACCTGAAATCCTAAATAATAGTCCAAACCTGGGCAGTCATGGATGTTCTCGAGAATTGAGAAGAGCTCGTATGCAACCAACAATCATGTTGTTGTTAGGTGATGTAGAAACACATGATAACATTATCCCAAATCCTGATGCGTCCGAGTCCTATAATGTTTGTCTTTCCAATAACATTACAACATTGTTTCCAATTACATGCAAGACTTATGCATATATGCTTGTGGTGTACGCCCCTATGAATCTAGTAACAATTAGGTTGTACTTCATGCTTGGCTGGCCTCAAGGATGCATGACAGCTTCTTCGTGAATCGTGATCATGTTTGGTTTCTCTTCCCGTGCTTAAATAGGAGCATTGTGAGATATGGGGCAACAACCATGGGATGCATGCTTTCATGCACTTCAATTCCGTCATAAGGAGCACATGGGCATATGCATGTACTATTGCGAGCCTCTTACGAGTGAAGTGCTAAGTGTGTAGATGCTTTGATCTTATCGACAAATGCAGTTCCTCTATAGCACCATGTTAAGAGAGAGAATTGCATTCATTGTCTCAAGTTGCATCATCAACAACAGGTAGAAACGGGCATGCACTAAAAAATGACTAAATCAATATTTGGCAAAAGCTCCATATAGTCCCCTCTGTTTGAGCATGAAAGTGGCAGTGACCGTAATTGGTAGGGATGTGTTGTTCCATCATTGGCCTCCCTAAGGACCGTTGCCTTGTAGTGCACCGATTGTGTGCTCATGTGTGATCACCACTTCTTCGTCGCAACCCACCTTCTGCGCATGAGGACATAAGGTATTTTCAGACAAAGCTAGGGTATGACCAAACTTGTAGAGGAATTTCATTTCCCTTGTGTGCTATGTGCTCGATCTAGGTCAACAATGACATGGTGAGTTTGTTGTGATGTGTACATATTGGACCAGCTGAACACAAAGCGGAGTTAAATGTGTGGATTTAATCATTAGAGTGGGCTAAGGTAAACCTCCATGCTAAGTAAAAGGTCCTGGAAGATAACTCATGATTTTTGAATGTCATCGTAGAGTATCATCTTGCTCTCATGCGTCCAAGAGTAATCAATGTTGTAGTCGTTCAAATACAATGTGATTTCATGGAACTTGTGTTCACTTTAGCCCAAGTATAATGCACATGAAAATAGAACTTCCCACTCACATGGTGGTCTAGTTTGATCAAACTAGATGACACCCTGCGCGTTGTTGAGTGTATCTTGTTAAAATAATGCATAAATAGGCTACAAAAACAACTAAAATAATGCAAAAGTAATTACATGAGTGCTCTTAGTTCAAAAAAATTTTAAACATGTGAAGCATGTCACAAAATATTGTGCAATAAAGTAAGGGATTGCTTTTTTAACAAACAAAAAAAACGAGTAGAAACTACCAACTAGAGGGATGAGTGGATGCTAAAAATAGCGCAGCCTCGAGGGAGGTGAAAGTTGAGGGTCATGGCATGTGTGACATTATGTGTCCATGGCACCAACTCCCATCCTCACGTGAGAACATTGTTCCCACGCTGGGTGTCGGTGTCAAAACCGGCGGATCTCGGGTAGGGGGTCCTGATTGTTGGGGAACGTTGCAGAAAATTAAAGTTTTTCTATGGTTTCACCAAGATCCATCTATGAGTTCATCTAAGCAACGAGTCAAGGGAGTGAGTTTGCATCTACATACCACTTGTAGATCGTGTGCGGAAGCGTTCAAGGGGATGGTGATGATGGAGTCGTACTCGACGTGATTCGGATCACCGATGACCAAGTGCTGAACGGACAGCACCTCCGCGTTCAACACACGTACGGTACGGGCGACGTCTCCTCCGTCTTGATCCAGCAAGGAGGAAGGAGAGGTTGAGGAAGACAGCTCCAACGGCAGCAAGACGGCGTGGTGTTGTTGGTGCAGCAGTACTCCGACAGGGCTTCGCCAAGCACGTACGGAGGAGGAGAGGTGTTGGGGAGGGGAGGGGCTGCGCCTTGGCTTTTGGTATGGCTGCCCTCCCCTCACCCCTCTATTTATAGGGGAAGGGGCAAGGGGGTCGGCCCTCTAGGGGAAACCCTAGAGGGGGGCGGCAGCCAAAGGGAGAGGGGAAAGAGGGAAGGCTTGCCCCCCAAGCTAGGGGGGCGCCCCCTTTAGGGTTTCCCCCTCCCATGCCTTAGCCGCATGGGCCTAGGTGGGGAGGCGCGCCCAGCCCACCAGGGGCTGGCTCCCTCTCCCACACAGCCCATGTGCCCCCCCCCCGGGAGGGGTGGCCCCTCCCGGTGGACCCCCGGAACCCTTACGGTGGCCTCGGTACAATACCGGTATATGCCCCCGAAACTTTCCGAAGTCCGTTTAACAACTTTCCATATATAAATCTTTACCTCCGGACCATTCCGGAACTCCTCGTGACGTCCGGGATCTCATCCGGGACTCCGAACAACATTCGGTAATCACATACAAGTCTTCCTAATAACCCTAGCGTCACCGAACCTTAAGTATGTAGACCCTACAGGTTCGGGAGACATGCAGACATGACCGAGATGCTCTCAGGTCAATAACCAACAGTGGGATCTGGATACCCATGTTGGCTCCCACATGCTCCTCGATGTTGTCATCGGATGAACCATGATGTCAAGGGTTCAAGCAACCCCGTATACTATTCCCTTTGTCAGACGATATGTTACTTGCCCGAGACTCGATCGTCGGTATCCCAATACCTCGTTCAGTCTCGTTACCGG